AGTTTGCCATACCTCGTATTACTCGTATCTCTTCCCAGTGATAAGCTCAAACCAGAGCCCTTACTGAAGTTTGATGGCTGAGAAGCAGAACTGCCTCCCATGTCGGCCGGCTCATGATGCATAAGCAACTATGTGCGAAATCCCGGTCTGTGCGGGAAGAAGAGTAGCCTTGGTAAATAATGACAGCGTTTCATTGAAAATCAAGAGGAATTGGGCGTCTTCTGTCGAATTGGATAAGGCGTCCGAACAAAGTCCGTGCTGAAATGCGGCCTTCCGTAAGCAAAACCACCGTGTTGTGAATAAGCCAGCAGAGCAATGACATCTTCAGCGGATTGAAGAAGCGCGTCCCAAGATTATTTGAGCGCTACAAGATCGCACGTCTCCATTTCTAGGTGGAAAAGGGCTCAAGTTAATGAACGAAGGTGTGGCTGCCAGGACCCTTCGTGATCTTGGACTCCACCTCCTCGTTTCATGCTACGGGTGATCTGGAATCGGCGTGAAAAAGTTTATTCTAAGTGGATCTGATGGAAAATGAGGGTACAGGAGGGTTCCGTGAAAATCGCAGATGGTTTCGAAGTAAGGTAATTTTGGCGGAGAATTCCTTGTGGTTTGAGGCACCTTTGAACGACTGAGCGGCTAGAGCTCGTATTTGTTTCCTTTCACGAGGATTCCATAGGGTATCGTTAAGTCCTTCTGAAGCGACTTTTACCATCTTTTCGACAACAGCCCTCTCGAACCTTGATTTTTACGCACGATAACGCAGCTGTCCATGCCGGTCCTTACACGCCAGATGGAAGTGCAGGAAAAAATGTGGCAGTTATCTATTGGCCACCATGTTATATGAATCAGTTTCCAATGGAGAATCACAGGGCCTTAATTGTTATAAAGTTCCACAGCAAAGAAAAGCAAAATGGAACAGCCGAAGAGCTGAAACGTAGATATTAACGCGCAACGCAATTTCGCTCCATTGTAATAGCTAATTTGGTTACCAGCATTCCAAAACGTATTATTGTGTTTCTTATGACTAATGGAGGACCACCACATTATTGAAATTTTTTTACGTTTTTTTGTTGTAATAAAATCTTTCGACAAGTAATGTGTAGTCATATTTGCGAAACGGTGAAAATACGTTCTAAAAAAGATATTTCAATAATTCTGAATCGAGATTTCTCCAAAAATCGAGTATCAAGGTTTTTCGTTATGGGGAAACTTTTGGTAATAGCGGCATTTCCCAAAAATGCGCAGCAACTTTGGAATAGCAAAAAATTAGGGTGGACCTATAATTATGAAAGCAAGTGTATACCTGCATTTCCGCGCTATGTTAGACATTCTTCCCTCCGGTTCATTTGTGGACTAGTGGCCTGAATCCAGAATGCCTCGAGCGTTTTCCTTGCGGCGGTCTGCGATTCCTGCGCCATGACCTCGACCTTGACCTCGAAGTCGTCCCCGTTGTGCATTTGAACCCTGTGGGCCCCTAAGGCAGTCGATAGCCGTGACCTCTTCTTGCCCTCCAAGTGCTCCTTGACTCGAACACAGAGCGGCCTTGCCGTTTCGCCGATGTATTCCTCACCACACCTACAACAAGTGATTTTATAGACCACCCCTGAGATGGTGCAGTCGCCCTCCCTGCCAGTCGGACAAACTACACAATTGGGCGTCGTGCATAGGCGATCGTAGAGGCGATTTCGTACAAGCCGGTGCTTCAGATTGTGGGGTGGCACATTTACAATGGCAACTGTGTTCTCTAAACCAGACCTCCTCAGACACCTCCTTATGCAAGTGCTGACCTCATCGAGAGACGAATGGTACTATGAATGGGATTTTGTCGCTGGCGAAGTACATATCTACTTGCCCTCGCGTGCCACCCCCTCTTGCTCCATGCACTCGCCGACGTTCCGTAGCCATTCCTAGTGCCCTCGCCTATCTCACGCATGCATCATCTCAGCGACTCACTTCGCGTTCATCTTCTCCTGTGCAGACCTTCTGTTGTTCGGAACATGTTCCTCACAACATTATATTCAGTAAGGATTCCTAGACCGCCCTTAGCATCTCCAATCGGTTGATGTCTACAAAGACCATTCGTAATTTAACGCTCTCGGTCATACAAAATTTGATGTTCCCTTTGGAACAAATAAACTTGGAAAGAATAACATAGCCAGCACATATCTCAGACCTAATCCACCTTCAGCAAATGTCCCAATTAAAGTCACCAGACAACGAAAGCATAGACTACAGGCAACAGAAGTATACCCAAAATTCACTGGCTAACATTATCCCAGCACTACAGTAGCATGGGTTGCTTATTATCCCAAAAGGCACTCGCACACAAAAACGAACAACGAAATCATAAGCACGGAGGAAAAGATCTATCGAAGTGTAACACTCGCACACCTCCGTGCCTTTTCAACGCATTCCATCCGAATTAATCATCATGCTTCATCCATCGCGATTGATTTAACGACAGCAGCCTACAAACAGAACATTCTTCTAGTGTTCCACAATCGCGAAAAAAACAATAGAGTCGGATTTAGCATAGGTAGAAAGTCGAAAGAACGAGCGCAACAAATATCTAAAAGATCAATTTCTCTCGCAGCTGAGATCGCTAGATGCTTGACTACCCCTCGCCTCTTGCAGAAGGTCTCAGCCCGAAAATGAGCGCTGGATTATGCGACTGAGTTAATAGGACAGACAACAGGAACTATCTTGAGCCCCACGGACTGGGACACAAATCCCATGACACACGCAACACATCCTCTGCACACCCGCACGTATACGCCTCATATCGGCTGATACGTAAATCTTAACACTCTCATATACTCGTCCTCACCGTTCCCAAAGAAGGCTGTTCTTATATGAGGGAAATTGAGATAGATAAAATTTCAATAAACCATCTTCACAGGCGGTTGAGATACCTGGCGCTTCTATGCTAGAAAAAAAACTCGCATTGAATTTCTAACAGAAAAACTGATTTATAGGGTTCCTCTAAGTCAGAGGTGGCAAGAAGGATTAACCTAGGTATGTGGTGTCGAAAATTGTATCGGATAAAACCGCTGGCAGTACACAGGCAGCAACCCTCCGAGTTACGCAGCGCATGCACTACGAAAACTGTTTCTGTCTCTTTGATCAGCAAACGCCGGAATATAAATCAGTAGATGGCCAGCGATACAAATTGGTAGAACTTTCGAACTACGCTTTCTTGCGCGAATTAGGTAATCAGCCGACTCGGTGAAAAATGTAAGGCGCTCACAGCGCTTCGCATTGGAGAAGATCACAAGAAACTTGGGAGCGAGAAGAGAGGCAAGAGCAAGAAAGACGGGAAAGAGCATTAGACGCATGCCTTACCCCTTTCACGAAAGTTCTCCTTTTCTGATCTCACATCCTTTCATAAAGAAGGTAGCCTGATCAATGTGTGTATGATCGTTCTACGCTTTAACACGTTGACGACTACGTGACGCGGTAACGCGTCCCACCCAAGTCATCCCTTTTTCTTGCGCTTGTGCGACTTATTCCTAAGGTCTTTGTACTCATTCTATAGGTCATACATTAGCATACTTAAAAACCACATGGCTCACAGAAAGGCCAAATATTCTTTAGTTTGGCAGAGGTTTTCCAGACCTTACGGATATGTCTGTTCAGTTCATTCCTCGTTTTCTTTTCAATAACGTAGACATGTTGATAAAAAGGAATAATAGAAGCGAATACAAACCTATATGGGAAGAAATGTGTTTGCATCTAAGTATTGCGGATTTACAACTCAAAATCCATGGATTTGTGTGCGGCGGCGGCGCTCGCAAAATCGCTCTGGTCCCACGCGGTGCAAAAAGCACAAAACGCGCGATGTCGTCAACGTGTTAACGCTCCTTTACGAACCTTGCGTCAGCTAACACAATGTATCTGCCAAGAGCGTTCTGCTTCGATGAATCCTGTAAGGTCGATGCCAGACTTTGCTAATCGAACATTCGCTACTAGCGATTTGCTAGCGTCCCCGATCCGCTGCACGCGACGCTAGCGATCGCTAGTAGCGGATCTTTTGAAAGCCTGACATCGGCCTAACTTGGTGGATACAGAATTTAGCACAAATCTGTCCAAGGGGTGCAAATAACAAAATCCGAAAGTTCTCACAAACCTCGCCGAGGGCAACGATAACGAGAACATTTTCAGCACCGTAAGTTCTCACGTGGACCCAAGGATACCCAATACCAGAATCGAGAAAAAAGTGCCCAAAGTTATGCTTGCGACCAATTGGCTTCTCCATCCCAAACGGTCAGTTGGTGGGATTCCCAAGAGGGCGGCAACAGGTCGATGTGTTCCGTTTTGTTTGCTTTCTGCGGCCAAATATGGAACTGCCTGCACTGCCCAGCTGTGCAATGACGGGCCCCGCTTTGGTTTGTATAGACAATTCTTAATATTTTTTATTAGTATTTAATTGGTGGCAGAGTATAAGCGGGACCGTATTGTGTGTATGTGTCACATGTGTATAAAAGTTGATTGCGAGAAACACAACACTCACAAAGTGTTGCTGCGGGGGAGTTGTAACGAGACTGCCGCTTCGACTCCAAACCATGGGGCACACTTCTCGACGCTTGCCACCAACCGGAGACAGGTGTTATCTTAGGAACTCCAAACAATTCATCCAACATATTGTGGACAGTGAGTTCGGCTTCCCATGAAACCAAATGTTCAGAATCTGTGAGGACAGATTCACGTTTATGTGTATGATATTTTCTCGTGTGTTGATTGCTTTATATGTGAGATGTTGCTTGAGGGCTTCCATAAAAACCCAAACTCAGCGTAACCTTTTTCGACTACATTTTTCATAATAATTGTTCATAATCGCTATTAGCTCACTCTGACATATGGCGAGAATCATGTGCGTTTATTGGGAGCACAAAAAACTTTCTTAAAACTGGCATTCAGAATGATCGCATGCTTAGCTACGCGCCCTCTTCGGTTACGCAGGTGCTGCTGTGCAGTACTCGGACTCTTTCGCCAGGAACGTGATGTTCCCGCTGAGCGCAGCCGCCTATTCGGATCAGCCCCAACTGTGTCTCGATCGACTGTTCCCCAACTCAACAGTGAAAGCGCTCATTCGGTAGCGGCATGCTTTTTTGAAGCAAACCATCTCAGCACTTAGTTATAGTGTTGTTGATTACAACGACTGTGGGATAACTGTTGTGAAGTGGGCGGACACAAGCAGGAATCTGGAGCCTGGACAAAACCGTTATGGGTTCACGGTTCCACTGCCTACGCGGCAAGCAGAAAGAGCGATTCGCTTATTCTCATTTTCAGTAATTTTGGAACTTAAAGTCGTCTATTAGCGAGGAAACATATTCGAATACTCGCTCATCGCTGCATGAGGCGGAAAGGCGGTGTGGTGACGGGATTGATGCAGCGCTGTTGATGTATATATATTTAGTTATGTCTCTGTCTGACGTCGTCATCGGCAACGTGGTGAGTCCTTGCCTAACTTTGGTTCTTGCTGCGGCTACGACTGCGGCTTTGCATTCCGTTGTGATGGACCTGTTGATCAAGTTCCTCCCAATTCTCGAGAATGAAACAGTGTTTCTTTAGACCTCGTGGTTCTACGGAGGAAGGATTTCGAGGTACTTCAGCGAAGCATTCTCCAACATTTGGTTCGATGGAATGGGTGAAGATTTCCTCACTCTACGGAAGCAGTATCCCGAGTACGAGGTTTGGGTGAGTGTCCAAATTGCTTCCGATCCGGGTCCTGCCAGAAAGCATTTGTTCGTTCCAGATCACTGGTCATTCCCTCGGAGGTTCATTGGCATCCCTTGGCAGCATCGTTCTTGGTTGGATCCGGCATGGCTAAGCCAGGCAAAGTCAAGCTGGTGACATTCGGCCAACCCAGAACTGGTGACCGCAACTTTTCAGAAACTATCAACAAGGTGCGACTACTTAACCTTAGTTCAGGGCAATTTCATGACTAAATATGACGTAGCTCACTTACAGTTAGACTACGCGTTCCGTGTGACTCACTGGAGAGACATCGTTCCTCACATTCCCATGGGCTCACTCGGTGGATACTTCCATCACAGGCAAGAGGTGATACGTTCATAGTGACTGCGAAATCGGCTATCTCAGAGCAACCACACCTTTTCAGGCTTTTTATGGAGATGATATGAGACCAGACAATTTCAAGATCTGCACAGGTTAGTAATTCCAGCTACCTGTTGGGATCAAACTGCTCTTCTTGCCAGCCATCGAATTTTTCAGAGGGAGAAGCCGTCGAGTGCAGTGATGGGCTGTGGTTCACCACGAGCATCGACGCACACACTCACTACTTTGGACACTATGTGTCAGACTACGGGAGAAGCGGCTGCGCCAACTGAACAAAACTTCGACCACCCAAATCCTCTCAAAGAATAAACACATGAATCTCCCTTCACTTGACGATTGTTTCCATTCCCTTACAAGGCGAAGTGGAGCTGCCGTACATACATGATTGCGCAAAATATCACGTGCTAGTTCAATGCGACAAGAATTTGGCGTTATCAGTATCGCATGAGTAAAATACTTTGCACCTTATAAAGCTCGAAGGACATCTTGCCTCATTTGATACCTAAAATGCAGAAGAACCACTTTGTGAGCAGGACCTTCATAATTTCCCTAAGCAGAACATCATCGAGTGTTGAAAGGATTTATGCGCTGATCAGCAGCACGGTAATACTGGCTCAGTTCAAAGAAAGATGCACAGTGCTTCGCATCAGAAACTGTTGCAAAAGCGCTCAGCGGCTTGATGCCTTCAATTTTCGGACCTTTTGTTCATCAACCCAACGCTCAACATTCAGGGAAATTAGCTCGACATCAGAAGTATCGCCGCACCATCCCTCACGACTTGGACACCCATGGACAATCAAGCTTGCCTATAAACGCATAACCTGCTTTCAAAGCCCTTAGACGGTTATGAGCCACAACGCAAATGCCTTGAGCTATTTCCGTGACCACTAAAGATGAGTTGAATTGAATCCCCTCGTAATTTCTCGCCACTTACTAACTGCTTTCAATTTGCCCTTTGACTCAAGGGAACGAAAGTGCTGGTTAAGAAGGAACGAAAGAGTTCAAAAAGAAAACCTGCACGACCCCACTAAGGATGAATTTTTGAGTGGCTGTCCGCGCTGTAATAGTAATCAAAAGAGCATCACCGTATTCAGTTAGATGGGGAAAAGCGTTTTCTGGGGTTGTGTAGCTTCCATCTTAATTTATACAGTCACCAATCCACTCCCAATCCTCTTGCCATCAGCTCGCGCTCCAAGAGTGGAAAATTCTGGGTCATTGTCAAGAAGAGCCAAATCAAAAGTTTAAGTGAAGCCCTGACGAGCTCTCAAGAAGCGTTGCTTTCGAAAAGCGTGACCGTGCCGAGAGGATGATGACGTATGTACCTACATATATCTGATCCAGATATAAGGGACTGGTTTTGACAATTAGACAAGTGTCACGGAAAGGAGAATCATTCGAAGAATCATGCATAGTTACAGTAAACCAGCTACGGTAGGTCTGCCTACACGGATCGAACTGCACAAAAGGAGCACCCCCATTAACGAGACCTTCGAAAGTGCCGAAGTAGGCTCTGATGAGAAGCGTATTGAGAGAATTTCGCTCGAAAGGGCTTAACCAACCAACTGACGATCGGAGGATTCCAGCTCGTACCCACTTTCTTCACTATCCATCCAAAGCCCAGTCACGCATCGGAATCTCTTCAGGGACTCTACTTCGAGCTATGTAAATTGTGAATTAAAGATAAATCACTAAGCTTCGACCATGGTGACCAAGTTTTGCAGACGCTTACACGACTACGTTCGTGCGAGAACGTGAAGTTCCCCAAGGTGGGTAAGTATACAATAAAGTTCACGTGATGTCTGGTTGGAAAACTCCCCACTGAACTGGCGACTGCAAACTTGAGGAGGTGATAGAAAGCGGTTGGGATTTTGCTGATGAGGCAGCGTTCCACCACCTATCATTTCGTCCACGGAGCAATCCGAGATTTTCCCCTGCTCTCCAGTGATGACTCCTCTAGAACTAGCCGCTTGATAACGCATGCTTGATTGGTATCACAGGCAAATAGCAAAACACTTATCAGTTTAGTTCTGGAATTTACCGGTAAACACCGGCTGAGAAAAGGTGACGTTCTTAGCTCGAAGTTCGCTGCAAGATAACAAACCAACTTTAGAAGAGGAGTTTCCTGCAGCAACGACACGCTATGACATTATAGTACGTTCAAAAAATGCAAACCAAACAGTGAAGCGAACGAGGAAGGACGAGCACTTCTTCAGCACCTCATGTTATTCGAGCGCGTTGCAGCTTTAAAGCACGCCATCCCCCAGAACGCTCGGATCATCCCTCCTACGCCGCGCCAATCCATCACGGTGGTATACGGTCACTTGGTGGCTGAACGTTTCTCCCTGATCAGCTCTTAAAATAGCTAAAGGTTGAATATTTAGTGAGCTTAGTGTTGGGTACCAATGGGTTTGCGAGGGAGTAGAGCTATTCGAAAAAAAGGACGAGACTGCTTATGACAAAGCGGAATCAAACCCTGGCCTGTCTATTGTTGGAAAGGTCTTTTTCGACCACTCGGAACACATTCAGCGTTTTGCAAAAATGCGCCATTGTAAGGAATTGTACCAAGGCAGTACGAAACTTCCGCTACTCATACTTGATAGAAACTCAGTGGTGTGATATGCACAGGAGAACTGCACACCCGTCTGTTCAGACTTCAAGAAAGCGATGTGAGCGACTTTTGGGATTACGTATTTTCAAGTTGATAGCCTAACAACCTCAGGTGCGCAGCCTACGGCAGTCAGTGGTATATTGGGGTTGTGAACCTTACAATTACAGAAACGAGATGAAGACTGAAGGCCTCGCGACGGTTTGCAGGAAGACAAACGCAGATTCGCACTGCAAGGTGAACCAGTAGGGCAGGACGATTCGACTAGCCCTCAGAAATCAAGACCGGGTTCTCCACGACAGTTTCAACGAGGTGTCCGCAGGAGGAAAGATCAAAGACGTCAGGGATCACCCGCTCACAGAAAACAAGGCCGGCTTCCCCACGCCTACAGCAAGGTGTTCTTGAAAGAGAAATTGTGATCCATTCGAGTCCACCTCGATTCGAAGAAACGAAGAGCGGGACTACTTTCGAAAGAGCGGTCTTTCGAACGAATTTTTCGAAAGCGCTAATCTTCAACTTACAATTATCCTTTAAAATCTGCAAAAAGTTAATTATGAAGCGAAGTTATGAATGTTTGAATGTCTGAAAACTCGCGTGTGCACGAAAAACGGAACAACGGGACGATTTTCTGAAGGAACTGAACATTCGCAACAGCTCAAACACTTTCAAAAAGGAAACGATTTAACAATTTTTTTCGAATTTGAATCACGCCCCGAGGGAAGGCCGTCTTGCACATTCGCAATGAACATCAAGCCTCTGTAAATTTTGTGGTCTATCAATACTCAGACCACGTCGCTTCTGATACGAAGAAAGCCATGACTAGAAATATGATGCGCACGGCCATCAGCTCGGCGTAAAGCGGAGAGAAGGACGAATCGTTCAAAGGTGCGTCACATCGCACAGGCGAACGACTAACCCACACCGGGAGTTCCTTCAAAAACAGGCGATGAGTGGTTGCAGCTTACCGTCGTGAAGAAACACAGACAAACGTACTCTCATGGTTCTACTTATATCTGACGAACTGTGTGCGGCCATGCTCATGCGTAAGGGCCGCTCTTCAAGACTGGGTGAGGGTGATGGACATTCCATCCACAAACCTCAAAGTAAAGTACAATCAGTCCGAAATCGTCCATAAGATCGCCTTATGGAACCCTCTGCTGTATAGTACGCTAATTCGGCAGGAACGGCAGCCGCATGACATCAGGTGTAGTGTACCTAATTTCGTGTCCTTCTTGCAAGGAACAGTATCACCTGTATCACCTGTCGTCCCGTTGATCATCGAATTGCTCGAGCGGGCGCCAGCAACGTCTCCATTCGTCCCTGTCGCGTGCAAGAGTTGTCCAGTGGACCCTCCTCGCTCGAGGGACACGAAGTCCTTCATTCCTTTCGTTCAGAGCTTTCGTGAAGAAGTCTGACCATCGGGCCGGCGGTCGTCCAGGTGTTCGTTTGACGTCCCGAGGGATCCAGTCGGTAACCGCTCTGGTCCAACGGTCATCGCAAAATCGCATGACGTGTCCGGCCCACCTTATCTTCGATTCCTTGGCGAAAACGGCAGCGTCCCTGATCTTCGATCGTTGGCGTAGTTCGGCACTCCGGATTCCCCTCTGCACTTGCGTGTATAGGGTTACTCCTAGCATCGTCCTCTCGACAGCGCGTTGGATAACGCTGACCGCATGCTCGTCCTGCCTGCGCAGAGTCCAAGTCTCTGAGGCGTAGGTTAGGGCAGGAAGGACAGCGGAATCGAAGAGGTGGGCACGGAGCCGGATGTTCTTCGTCTTCTTCACTACTCCCTCGATGTTCTTGTACGCTCCCCAAGCCGCTCGTTTCCTCCTGCTCAGCTCTAGATCGTTCATCATATTGATTTCCCGACCTAGGTACACGTAGCTGGAGCATTCGGTGATGTTCGTTCCGTTGAGCGTGAATGGGGCATCAGGAACCAATCCGTTTCTCATAAACATCGTCTTCGTTAGGTTCAGCTGTAGACCAACCTTACCACAGGCGCAGTCGAAATCGGAACATTCGCTCCGGGAAACGGGCAGACCAACTCTGCGTGAGAATAAAAGAACACCTGGATAGCGTGAAACGCTCAAATTGCTACTCCTCTGGAAAAGCATAGAGTTTGATGTCATGCAAACAGTTTTCCTGGGGTGGCGGTTACGGCATTGTCGTGCGAATCCGATAGCAGCTTCAAGGATTTCCGGATCAACGCCAAATCCCTAGGATCAATAGCAGGGAAGAGTATATTGCGGTGAATACAAAGCTGGTGCTCTTCGCGACCTTGTGTGACTTCTGAAACACATAATCAAACTTCGCGGGGTCTTGCTGGTGGGCAGAGTCGAGGGCTTCTGCACTGTTTTTAAAAGTAAGGGTTGAGTGAGGTCAGCGGCGCACATAGTTCGAAGGGCCCCTTTGAAAGAGTTTCGCCTATTGGACCAAC